GCTACTCTTGTAAAGCCACAGAATGACAGGATACCACAAAACTAAAACACACTATTCAAATGTTGCTGCTCGTGCATGTAATTGTTTTTGCATTACATGCAAATTGTTGGTAAATTAGATAGCACCGGTACATGTTAACCACTTTTGCTCAGGCGAGTGTATGCTCAGTTGGAGTGTTTGGAATTTGCTTTAAAAAAGGAAATATTTAATTTTTTAAGTGCAACGAATGAAGAATTTCTCCTGGAATTTTAATAATAATGCATTGAGGTTGAATATCTTCCTTTAAATATGTAATGATTTTAATTTTTACAGTGCACAAAGAATAAGAATTATAACTANGATTTATTTTTATGCATCAACCTTAAAAATTTGAAACAAATCAAAGACATGAAATGTGAACCCCGTCTAAGAGACTTCTACCAGTGAGATTAAACTGACCCCGGATTTGGTTTCAGTGGCCCAAAAACATATATAGTGACCTTTTGTTATGATTTTTGTCGTTTACCTGAATTTTATAAACCATTCATAAGAAAATGTTCGATAGGCTGGTCGAAAAATGATGACTTACTACTGAGTTTTTATATATATATTTTTTTTCATAAACGCCAAGTAACTTTCGATTCTACATAATAATACCTAAAATTTTACATCTTAAAAATAACGAAATGTCTCCACCATTTTTGAACAGAGCCGCGGTGACGTGGAATGACCCATATATATATATCTACATGTATACATCTATATACAGTATTGGCCAATACAATGGCACCCCCATTTCAAACTGATATTGTTTGCCACTCATGTTTATTTATTTATTTTTATGAATTTTCAATTAAAATACAATTCATTCTCTCACAAAACTCACATAAACTCAAGCTTAAAACTTTTTAAAAGACCGCAAAAGAGTGCAACAAATTTTCACCCAAATTTCAAACTTTTTTCTCAGAAGCGGTAGAATTTTTTTGAATACACAGTTTTATAGCCCATTCCATTTTAGTCTAATAATGTGCAAGTTTCAAGTGGCTAAAAATTACCGTTGATTTTTTTGAATTTTTTTCGCCGAGGATGTTGCGGGTTTTTGCCATATAAAAATAAATTGTGTTTAGTCCATATATGGAAGCAAATGAGACAAAAAAAATTCTAAAAAGTCAACGGTAATCTTTAGCGACTTGAAACTTGCACATTATTGGACACAAATTGAATGCGCTATAAAACTGTGTACTCAAAAAAAATCTAGAGCTTCTGAGAAAAAAGTTTGAAATTTAAGGGAAAGTTTGTTGCGCTTTTTTGCGGTCTTTTAAAAAGTCTAAAACAGTGGTTTATATGGGTTTTGCTGGAGAATGAACTCTATTTTAATTGAAAATTTTGAAAACAAATAATTACACATAAGTGGCAAACAATATCGCTTTGAAAGGGGGTGCTATAGATACGTCCAATACTGTATATATGTATGTATGTATTTTAGCTGCTCAATCTATGTGTGTCTGCGTGTGTTTAGACGCACTTTTGGTCGGCACAGCAGGGTACCTCGGCTACTCTTGTAAAGCCACAGAATGACACGATACCACAAAACTAAAACACACTATTCAAATGTTGCTGCTCGTGCATGTAATTGTTTTTGCATTACATGCAAATTGTTGGTAAATTAGATAGCACCGGTACATGTTAACCACTTTTGCTCAGGCGAGTGTATGCTCAGTTGGAGTGTTTGGAATTTGCTTTAAAAAAGGAAATATTTAATTTTTTAAGTGCAACGAATGAAGAATTTCTCCTGGAATTTTAATAATAATGCATTGAGGTTGAATATCTTCCTTTAAATATGTAATGGTTTTAATTTTTACAGTGCACAAAGAAGAATAATTATAACTAAAAAATTTTACGAATTTACGACGTTTGTCTTTGAGATGCCGAAGGTTCCATAGTAATTTCAGTTCAATTAAAGCCCGCAGATTTCCTTGTGTGCTGGGTTTCTTCGAGAAGATTGACGGTTTTTATCACGGTTTGCATTCGTCGATGCTGTTTCATTGAGTTTTGCTGGTTTTGAAGAAATTCGTATGTAGTCTGCTGGAAGCAAATTTCCTAGACTAACTGTGTTGGTAACTACAAGGCCGTACAATAACCCGGCTGGTGATGCTTTCAGATTAGCTTGTATACTGTTCTCATGCCGAGGATAACTAAGGAAAGACTGTCTGTTCAAGAAGGAGATTTAAATACTCTGTGCCTTCTTTCTATGTTGGCATTAAATTGCGGTTATATCTCGTTGATCCGATGTATTTTTTGTATCTACATAACTATCCTAAAGCTAAATATCAGATCTATTGAATGGTAGCCATGAAAACTACCCCTTCTGCTTTTCCTTTGACGCATGTATGTCAACCGTAAAATAGTCAATGTTGTGATCGCTTATTTTGTTGTCCTCGACGCCTTCAATCCTTCTTCTAGGTTATTCGCCAATTATGCTTTAGTTAAGACCTATTTCAACAAAAAAGTCTATTCTATAATTTAAAACTATATTTAAATGGTTTGATTCTAATCTCAAGTAGCACACTGGTGTATAACTTGGTGTTAGTTTATGAATTTTGGTATAAATCTGATTAATTGTACCAAAATTCACAGACTCACACCAAGTTATAAATCAATGTGCTACTTGAATAATGGATACTTACTGAAATTTTCGCCGACATGCTCTCCTATGTTAAACTCTATTGAAAGGCATTTTAATTTAAATTTATTTAAAAAAAAAAAAAACAATTCAGATATATTTTTTATAGTGTTGCCACCTATTTTCCATCGTATATTTATTAAATTTTTTGTTTAGAAAATTAAGATACGATATTACTCTTTATGGATACTGAAACATAGCTCTTAAACAAGGTTGCCACTTATTTTCGATTTTAAAAAATTTAACTAACTTTGCTCGTACACCAGGGGCAAACACTTTGGGGGGCACACTCACCACTTGCTTCGAAAAATTTAAAGTTAAAAAACTTAAAATCTTCGGGGAAAATATTAAACTTCGCACTTTATTGAGTTGGCGGGGTCGCAGCGCCGAACACGTCTATTCGGCTCGGAATTCGCAAACTTGTGATTTGCTTTCTTTTGTGTTGTAATTCATGTATTTGTGTGTGTGTAAATACAATTCATATGTATATATATATATAATATTGTGTGTGTGTATTATGTGTACGTGGGTGTAACGGCCGTGGTGAGTGGACGATTTGGATTTGGTGAGTGGATTTTGGCACGAATCAATATATTTGGTAAAAGAGTATTTATGGTCCCACTTCGTTCATATTTAGACTGCTTGCTTTAAAAATATTTGTTTTTACAATTAACTAAATTATATTTTGTCCATTTCAGTAGCTACACCTGAGAGAAGTTTTACATGTCTGGAATGGATTAAAACCTACTTGAGAAATACAACAGGCCAAGAAAGACTCAACGGTCTAGCAACTATGAATATTCACAAAGACATACATACAATTGACGATGTTCTAGAAGAAATTTTCAAAAAACCATGGAAAATATGAAAACTCTTCGTTTCATTGATTTATAAGTAAAAAATAAAAACTGAACGTGTATAAAATTACCAACATGCTTTATAAATAAAGCGAAAAATTTAGTTTGTCTTAGATCTTATTGCGCATACTTTTTTCTAAAGAATCCTTTTTCTAAACCCATATAACTGAACAATTATTCTTCGATTTGATAGGTCNCTAGAAGAAATTTTCAAAAAACCATGGAAAATATGAAAACTCTTCGTTTCATTGATTTATAAGTAAAAAATAAAAATTGAACGTGTATAAAATTACCAACATGCTTTATAAATAAAGCGAAAAATTTAGTTTGTCTTAGATCTTATTGCGCATACTTTTTTCTAAAGAACCCTTTTTCTAAACCCATATAACTGAACAATTATTCTTCGATTTGATAGGTCTCTCTCTGTATTTGGAAATATTTTCATTTAAACAGGTATCTCCTTTCCAAGATTTCCTCCTGATATGTTCGATTACCATGGCGAAGTCGCAGTGCCGCTCAATTGCCATCTGTGTAAGAAAACAGTATCCATATTTTAGAGTTACTGTTTTTTCTTTAATATTACAAAAATTTACTGAATTTGAGAAGTTTTTCCTAAATTCAAGTTCATGCTAAAAATAGGGGCTCATTCATTTGAGGAAGTAAATTTACTCGATATAAGTAATAATTTCCTCAATATAAGTAATAATTTCCTTAAATAATTTTAAATTTGTTCTGTGCTGTTAAAACAAAGTGAATTGCTTTACTGGCAANAGTTCATGCTAAAAATAGGGGCTCATTCATTTGAGGAAGTAAATTTACTCAATATAAGTAATAATTTCCTCAACATAAATAATAATTTCCTTAAATAATTTTAAATTTGGTCAGTGCTGTTAAAACAAAATGAATTGCTTTACTGGCAAATGTCGGTTGTGGCGTCGCATGAAGACTACTGCTTCTGATTCTGAGATCGCAGGTTCGAACCCGTTTGGAGGTGGTTAGAGTACGGTAAGTCAATTATTTCAATTTAAATATAAATTACAAATTGTAAAATTAATTTCATATATGGAAAATCCAACTAGCACTTCAGAGCTTAGCTCTGTCGGCCATTGCCACTGTTTGAGCGCCACGAACAAATGACATACTTATTCCTTTCGCGGGGATGAAATGGCGCGTAGATTTTTCCTAAAAACTAAGGAATGTATATTCCTTAAACTGAGCCATTTCAAGGTAACATTTCCTTAGAATAATAAACTTTTTTCCTAACATCAAGGAAAGTTATTCCTGAGTGTATTTAAATCATCTGCTATTTTATGGTGATATCGTTTCTACCAAAAAATTTTGCCTTTTGATTGCCCTTTCTCTTTTCCTGTTCGATTCTAAACTAAAGGCAAAGGGTGAGAAAATTGTGTGTTCGTTTCTTAAAATGTCACACTCTTGCAAGGCAAAAAAGGCACATTCTCAACCATTATATGGTTGTTTAAAACGACAATATTATCTATTAAATGCATGAGCTAGACAAGGACAAGAAGGCAAAAACATGCCTTTTTACCAAGCTGAGTGTAACAGCAAACACATTTTGCACCGGGAGATGGCTATATTTTTTGGAAGAAACTAGATCACCATTAGCACTAGGTACGTTAAGACTTTTATCTCTTATATGTTATATGAAGCAAGAAGATCTATTGCAAGAGGTACTATTTGGCAGGATATAACATTCCACCATTTCTCTGCGTCTTATATATAATAGTGGTTTCCATATTTTTAACCTTGTTGCATTGGCAGGACAACTTTAGCCAAGTGTTTTATACCATCGGTAAATTTAAATCTGGCATTCACATTGCACTGTACAGTCAAATTCTAGGTAAATAGCTTACTAATGTGCCCTTGGAACTTTATCATTTTGAGGAAGGCTTATTGAATTCAGAACTAAATTCTAGAGGTTCTTGAATGCCGAGGGGTGATATTCAACAACAAATTTTTCACTTAATAATGCGCTCATATACATAAGACTTAGCCGGGTAAGAGCCAAGAAACCGGAGAATTCGGAAAGGAATTTTTACAGCGATCCGCCCTCTGCAGTCAAACGTAAAACTTTGAGTCTAGTTATTTCAGACGTAAAAAGGTGCCGCATTAAAAACTGGTTGTCCTTCGAAGGCGGTAAAAAATTGCAAGGTTCCTTTATCTCAAAACTATGCACCAGGGTTGCAGGAGTTGCTCGACTTTTATGGTAAAAGAAAACTTTAGTTCAGATTATAATTTTTTTGTATTAAAAACACTCGCACTTTGAAAATGTTGGTTAATTTGATTAAGTGTTTAAACATTGCTCTTTTTCTTACTTAAACTCAGCGTAAGCTCTCGCATATCACACATAACACGGCATTCGTGGCTCACGCGAGAATACGCAGTCGAAACTATCGGCGAAATCACGATTTTGCTTCATACCCAGGTAGAATATATTCTCAGCCAGTTCCTTGCCAAACTCACAAAAGTTCTGTGCATATAATATGAAGAAGACTTTCTTATTATCCAAATCATATGCGCCAAGTATTCTATTCTCACTATCGTAGACTTCATTATTTATGCTTGCTCGATCAGGCTTAGTCCAGTCGCTGTAATCCACCCAAGCATTTTGAAATGCCTTCAGATAGACAACAGCCAAGACGCGAGCCTCATCCAAGACGTGCACGTACGGCGGCAACTTGAGGCACTCAGCCAACTCGTGTACACGCTTCGGCTCACGATCGCGCTCGGTCGTGTTGTACAGTGTCATCCACAAGTGTACATTCAGTGTTGGGTAGTAGTAGGACATGGGCATGTTGCGACTCTGATAGAGATAAAGCGTCCAGTCCAGCATGGTGCGTTCAACGCCCAACTCGTAGGTGGAGTTGCGGCGGCGATGCAGCTCCAAATTGCGTACATTGTGCTTGTAACTTTCACGATAGACACGCAACGACTCGTACTCATGACTCAGCTCGTGTGGTCGAAAATAGATGTGTGGAAGTCGGAATTTCTCCCTCAGCGTGAGTAGGCGATGACGAATGGGATGATGCATGAAGTTGTGAGTTTGCGCTGCTTTGTAGAGAAAATTCTCGAGTAAATTTAGGAAGTTATGGTGTTCCACGGAGTTGGGGCTTATGTGATTTTTGCTTATTATATAGCCGAAGAGTGGTTTGAAGTACTCAAATGTCTCGCGATAGCAGTCTTCGATTGCTTTTTTAGAGTTGCAGGAAATAAAAAAGTCCATCATCTTTTGCTTAGCATCGAATTGCTCGGGATCTTGCTGCAGTTCGGTGAGCAGCTTCATTAGCTCGGCGAATTCGGGTAAGTGGCCTACAATGTAAACATATATATATGTACCTATGTATGTATGTATAAATATGTCATTCACATCTCACCCAAAACCGTGAAGAGTGGATTGTTGTAACTACAAACATAATCGTAGAAGCTCTCGCATGGCAATCTGTTGTGGTTGATGGATGCATGTAGACGTGTGGCAAGATTTTCAAGCTGCTTTTGACGCACTTTGCTAATATGTCTATAAGTATTATATTCGTACTCTTGTGCGCTCACTGGCAAGCATACAAAACTGAAAACTAGCGCGAGCAGCGATAAGAGGAGCATGAAATATTGCCGTCGACTATGCTGATGACGATGACGATGGCCACGATGCATGTCCATGCCAAGCGCAAACATTTCTATGAACCACAAAACTAACTAACTTTCTTGTCAATGTCACATAAATAGTTAATAAATATGTAGCTCACTCTTCGTCACAAGTCACTGAAAACTTTGCCGCTATCAAAACCACAATTCGTTGGTCAACACTTTGCGCAAAAGTCCGAATTGGATTTGTGTCAGAAACTTTAACAATTTTTAGTTGCAACGAACAACTTCGCCAGTTCAGTATATTTTATGTTCAAAGTGGTTATAGTTTTGAAGTGAAAATTTCACTATGCTGTTATTAGAAGGGCTAGTAATTTATAAACGTTGACACTATGCAAACCAAGTTAGCGCGCCGATGACATGCTGCTGCGCTAATCTACAAGAGCAAACTAATCAAACGGCGAAAGATTCGCTTCCTCTACGTCGATCTGCTCCCATTGCTGATAAGCTTTTTAGTAGTTTATTATTGTTCGTGGTATATTTCAGTATTCATATTTATTATAAAACATGAAACAAGTAATAAATAGCACCAATACCATATTTTCTGATAAGCATCAAACAGCTTCGGAAATTTAATTTGATGCTGAAATCGGTTGAGAAATCACTGAACTCATTACCAGGGATGACCACGTAGTATAAAATATAATTGGAGAAGATTCTGGATTGGCATCCAATAGAGTAAGCCAGTCGTTTTTCTTTTCTGCGCCAACTTAAGCCAAGTGAAGCCAATTTAAGGTGTTCGATTATTCGCCTTTTTTCNAGGGATGACCACGTAGTATAAAATATAATTGGAGAAGATTCTGGATTGGCGTCCAATAGAGTAAGCCAGTCGTTTTTCTTTTCTGCGCCAACTTAAGCCAAGTGAAGCCAATTTAAGGTGTTCGATTATTCGCCTTTTTTATAAAACCGGTTTCCAAGTTATTTGAAAAATGCCAATTTGAAAAAATTGGTTCCCCATTTTTATATGAAGAAAAACGCGGTTTTATTTTACATACTTATATTTTCTCTATATCAACACTTAGTGTTAGTCAGAAGTCATAAATTTTATTTTATTATTTTTTTTTTTTTTTTTACATACATACATACATTTATGTACATACATATTTTATTTTACTTTATTTTATTTTCTTTTGTTTTATTTAATTTTACATTATTTAATTTATTAATCCGGATCAACGTTGCCGTCTATCTATGCTTTAAGATGCCTCACCGACACCAACCACCTCTTTACATACCTACTCACGTCATTAAAAAAAATTCTACAATAAAAAAAAACTTCAGTCTTCAGATATAAAATTTATAAAAATGTTCTCTGTAGTTTCATTATCAATAAAATAAATATAAAGACTTTTCAGNTTTATTTTCTTTTCTTTTGTTTTATTTAATTTTACATTATTTAATTTATTTTTAGTTAATTTAAACTTTTAGACTTTAATTTTATAAAAAAAATCAACAATAACTAACTGAAAGGAACGTTAAAAAGAAGTGGTAATGAATAAAAATAAGTAAACAAATAAAAACTAAATGAAAATGCAACTGGCCGTGGACTAAAATGTACTATTTTAAAGGTCATTAATTCCCGTTACTGCCGCCTTTAAAGGCACAATATTTATCGTATCAACTAGGTTGTTAATCCGGATCAACGTTGCCGTCTATCTATGCTTTAAGATGCCTCACCGACACCAACTACCTCTTTACATACCTACTCACATCATTAAAAAAAATTCTACAATAAAAAATACTCCAGTCTTCAGATATAAAATTTATAAAAATATTCTCTGTAGTTTCATTATCAATAAAATAAATATAAAGACTTTTTAAATTCGTTATATAAACAAATTAAAAATTCGGTTTATTCCATTACAAAAATCCGGCTTCCGGTATTCGAAAAATCCAGACGTCTAAAAATCATGTTGAAACCGGTTTGGAAAAACCGAGTCAATTACCATAAGCTAAATCCTCCTGCGCCTTTTCTTTCTATCGCACAGAGGGAAGTTCTTGCCACATTTTGTTTAAAAACGGCTGGAATAGTAAATTTTTACCGAATGGATTTTTTTTGTTTTAAGAAGTTGTATTTTTATCAGAATATAGAGAAAGTCGAAAAATATTTGTCCGGTATAATAANATTTTTTTTTTGTTTTAAGAAGTTGTATTTTTATCAGCATATAGAGAAAGTCGAAAAATATTTGTCCGGTATAATAATTTTTTTTTTTTACAGCAGTCGCTATTGAGTCAGCCATTTTGAATTCCAAAACGACCTCAAAAACCTTTATTCTGGCTTTAAAATATGAAATTTGTCACCAAATACATATTTACTTATAGTCTTAGGGTTAAAAAAATTTGTATTTCACCTTATGCTGATAAAAATACAGCCCTAGACAACCTTTACTAAAATTCTTTCTATGAATTAAAAAAAAAAAAAATATTATTCGATTCGTTAATGACTTCCAGCCATTTTTGCACAAAATTAGTCGAAAATTTCCAACCGTGCTGGGCTTCAATTAGAGGCTTTCAGACCTGCAGACATCACAAATCGAGCGGCGCCTCCTAGNAAACCTTTATTCTGGCTTTAAAATATGAAATTTGTCACCAAATACATATTACTTATAGTCTTAGGGTTAAAAAAATTTGTATTTCTCCTTATGCTGATAAAAATACAGCCCTAGACAACCTTTACTAAAATTCTTTCTATGAATTAAAAAAAAAAATATTATTCGATTTGTTAATGACTTCCAGCCATTTTTGCACAAAATTAGTCGAAAATTTCCAACCGTGCTGGGCTTCAATTAGAGGCTTTCAGACCTGCAGCGTTTGTGCCCATTCGCAGAGACATCACAAATCGAGCGGCGCCTCCTAATTTTAATTTGCTGCACTATATTGAAATCGTTGTAAACCTAATTGAGCTCTTGGCTCCAATATCTGTACTATTCGGCACTGCAAAAAGGCCCGTAAATTTCTCACATAATCTCACTCTCTCTCTCAAATACTCAAAAATCCACCTCACTGGAAGTTGTGATTGCTTCTATGCCACATTTGTACCATTGGGTGTTCTTGTTCGACAAGAGAGCACTCTACTTATAAAATTACCCACGATTGAGAGAATACAAAGGTTGCGCCGATCTCGGACCGCTATTCCTCTCTTAACGAATTTGACAGAATCGTTGTTTGCATGACGTCACACTGGTGCAACTTGTTTACGTTTTCCTTGCAACATTTTACTTACCGGGTTTTTAGCTGTATTTTATTTTCTACCAC